GCCGCAAGGCATGCAATGGGCTTATTTTGTTCCAAATTATTGGTTATTTGCCCCAAATTTCTTAAAGTGGTCCTTCATCGATGCTTTAACCAGATGCTTTCTCTAGTTGTCATGGTTTGCTGACCGGCAAACGACTATACTGTATATATGCGGTTAATTTTTAACACATACCCTACGCTGCATAGCAATTATAATATGAGTTAAATATGGGCATGTAACAAATAGACCACCCCATTTAAAACGTGAAGCCAACACCTCAAACTTTGTCATTAGATATGAATAAACAAGCCCAAATGGATGCATCTGCTGCAGCTGAAAAGGCAAGCAGCAATACTGGCACGGTCATCTAAAAGTTATGTTATTTTTGGAGAAGAGAGATTGTTTTGTGGATCATACCCATTATTGCCCTTGACATACGTGAACCATGACAGTCTAAATAAGTTGTTCAAAGTGATTTAAAGTGTTTTGATTTGTGTGGTGTCAACTTTGTCTACGTCACTAAGCATACACAAATGAGCTGAATAAAAATGCAAGTTGAAACCAGCCAAAAACTAGTTTTAAAGATCATGTTTTCATCACAAGTGCTGCTGTCAACAGATAGGTGAGTTGAAATGATGTTCATCATATCGGCTACTCTAATTTAGGTTAAGTTGGTCAAGTGCATGGCAAGTGGTAATAGGAATTATGCAAGAATCAGTAACTCACAACTGCTGCTGTGATAGATACAAACAGGTTATACGGGATGAGATGATGTGAGGCCTCTTTAGGTTAGGCATAAGCTACTTTCATGGAAATAAGCATTGATATTTTGTAAGAGTGACAACATGTTTGTTTTCCCACACCCCATCTTAACAGAAGACAGAAGTATGTCTATTGTGTTTGACTTGGTGATGGGCTGATGTGTAGGAGCCCAAAGTTTTTTCTTTGAGTGTTTCACGCTTGCTGAATTTTCTGCTGTCATTTTGTTACTGAAGTCCTTTGCTTTGTTTTGTTTTAAAAGTACTGTGGAAGGGAATGGAAAAGTGCAGCATCAAATTATTGGTGTTAATAATTTGTTATGCTCATAAAACTGTCATGCACAATGCTTTAACACGCTCCCGGTTGGCCGGCTAGATACCCTTCACTCGGGTGCGGGGGTCAATTTAACCCCGCTCTGAGATCTCGGGAACTAAGAAAGCTAGAGACACCAAATTTATAGGGTGTCTTGACATATACGTGAACTCACTTAGGTTAAGGTTTCAGCTGCCTAGGTCATGACCTTCAGGTCGAATAGGGTCAAACAGTCAAATTCCGGGTTGGTCCCCAAAGCGCCCCCAGAACCTAGGCAACTGTCTCTAAGCAAAAGGTCACAGGCCCATTTGAGGTCATTGAACTCGTTTGACCCTTTGAAGGTCATGGTGACCAAAATGATACAAGACTGCTCTGAGTTTTGCATTTGAATAAGCGGCAAAGACTACGATAGGCAGTATGTTCCTAAAACAAAAAGTTTGACCCGGGTCATCTTAGGTCAATGACCTGTTCTGACCTCTAAGAAGTCAACTGAAGATGTATAATGCCGTTCCTGCTGTCAATAAATTCGAAATGAGCACCAGAAACTATCCCATACAGCAAGCCTTAGAGTAATAAATCAGGCTGGTTCTGACCTTGGTCTGACCTTCATACCTGACCTTAGGTCAACGTAATTTGCTCATTCAATATTTGTGGTGCCTAATAAAGCATCTCAGAGATGCATGTCTTCATCAAACACTCCGTTGTTGTATCAGATTGAGCGATTCCCTAGAAACTGCCTTCGCTGAAACCATGGGCTGACTTTGACCTGTCATAGGTCAGCGACCTTACACGGTACATATAAAATTTGTATGTCAAGCGATCCGCTATGCAATTTTCTACAGCTATGCAAAATTTGGCGCAGCTACGCCGCGTCATTCAAAAACCATTCGGGAAAAGTCCTTGGGGGGAAGGGCAATTCGCCCCGCCCCTCCACCCGAGCGCGCGTCACTGTATTCTCTTTAGCTTTAATGGCCTAAGATGTTAAAAAAACGAAATAGTGTTGTCAGGTTCCTGATATTACGTCCATGCCAACTTGAAATAGATGTCTTTGTCTGCTGAAGCATCAGTCACGAGCTCATAAGTTCCATCTTATGTGAACCGATTTTTTTCACTCCCGCACGGTCTTTTTGCGATGGAATTTTTCACTCCCAACCTAGTTCAAAAGCGATTCTAGCTCCCTGTATGTGGAACTCACAGCACTACCCCAACCGTTGACTGGATCTGTGGATCTCACAGCACTACCCCAATCCAAATTTCGCCTTCACTTAATACGTGCTTGAAATGCACCCTGCAGCCTTATGACGAATGTACAACACGCGTGACAAATAAAGACCAGCCAGCGAACAGACGGTGCGCTGACATGTGACCAGTTCGTCTTCGTGTGAACCCGCATCACACGCCTGTAGTCCTGTTTGCAAGCTGCTTCTCCCGCACCACTGATTGGTACACTTCTGCCGGTCCATACACATCGCTTGGAAATGACATTTTTGTGCTATTTCGTTTAACTGCTAAACCAGCAGCCATTGATGACTAGTGACTGTCAGCACGTTTGATCACACCGTCTCTGCCTGCTGATCTAGTATACTTCTAACGAACGAAACACAAAGAAAACACGCAGCACAAATGACATCGGTCACGTTGGAGATGCCTACATCATCGTACATCACTTTCGAATGCAAAATGATCACCAATTGGCGTGGCATATCATTTGAACCTATAAGGGCTCATGATACCCCCGCTTCTGTTAATAACTGACGAAACAACGAGGCGCACAAGACGGTCATGTCTCAGGTTTTTTGCGTTCTTCTCTTTTCACCGTCTTTTGCAACACACAAAACAAAACATGCAGCCAGACAGCACTGCGCGCGCGTGGCAAATGCGGCGCCGATGCAGGACCAGCGCGCTTCTCTGTTCAGTTTCCTGGTAGAACGCGCTGATAGAGTTTCATGACGACCATTGCGAGGTATCGAACCGGGCCTGACGAGCTACATCTCATGCTAATTTGCAGCAGCTGCGCCGTCCCCTGGTGGCGCCACCGGCGGAGAGGGGGGGGGGGGGGGGGGGGGTTGAGCGAGAGGAGCGCCGGCGCTAAACAGGGCGAAAACAGGCATCATCATGGCGTTTTCGCCGCATTTTCTAACCATAGTTGCAGCACTTCTCGGAAGACTCCACCACTCTTCCTTCGCTCACTCACAGGACCTACCGCAAACAATCAACACAATGTGTTACTTCAGAAACTGACGGGGGCAGAGCGATGCCAACCGCGGTCAGGCCGGAGTGCCTGCGCAGGCCGACGGCCGCTGGTACCGGCAGTCGGCCTGCGGGCCGCCGGGCCCAGCTGGACGCAGCGCGGCCCGGCCGGGCGCCATGCCAGCCGTCCGGCGGCGAGCTGGGCGGGCGGGCGGCGGCGGCGGCGACTCGCTGCGGTTCGGACCGCGGCAGCGCCAGACACCAATTACGTAAATCACTGCGCCGGCCGGCGACGCTGATAAATCTGCCCGGTGGCTAACGACGCCGAACCGATGATCTATCGGGCGCGCCCGAGGCAGGCGGGTTATGGAGCGGTCAGTGGCGCCGGGGGCCAGGCGAACCCCGCGGCCCGCCCACACGGGGGTGACCGTCCTTCCGCCCGCACAAACCGCCCGGCCAAGAACTCGATGTTTGTTTTCGCATACGGCAGATACCAGCCGGCTGTTGTCTATGCGGCAGCCGCGCACCGACCCTAAAACAACATCGAGAAAAACGTTGATGCAAAGAAAGGGAGAGAGAAGTATGAGTAGACAAGCCTAAGACAAGGTGGAGCGAATAGCGATTTGTGGCAATGCCACTCGCATTTGGTGTCGATGCATTCCAGGTGTACGTTCTGCCTTTTCATGTCCAAAGTCCCCGGTTGAATGCTCGCAGACCAGCGTCCCGTGCTAACAGCGGACATTCGCATTGGCAGTGGAATTGAGTGAGGGGTCCAAACTAGAGGAACATGGCTTACAAGACATTTCCTCGCACCATGCATGCACTGTGTCCCTTCTCAGCATCATTTTATAGCAGCATAGTTCATAAAATGGCTTGACATGAGTTTCTCCCACAATCACAGACCAAATAAGATACCGACGGGTTCAGTGTGGCTTTCAACGATTCGAATTACCTACGCTAGAAGCTGTTTCCAAGATGGAACGGAATAATGACAATAATGTCGTTTTTCCGCCATTATACTGCACCCGCAAGTAAAGAACCGGCACATTTCTGTTCATTGTACAAGGCCACAAGACACGTACGAAAACGAATACTCTGTGCTACGATCATGAAAAAAGGCGGCGTGCACGCAGCACTTCCATTCCCTTCGTATTTTTCCTCGACGTTCGCGGCCTCTCACAATTCAAAAGTGGCAGGTCAAACTCACAGGTGGCAAAACACCCATTCCAACCAACCACGAGGAAGGCAAACAATTACAGTACCACTTAACCCGTAGGCTGTGTTCCACCAACACCAACCCCCCCCCCCCCCCCAACCGCCGCTCGCTACCCTTTGCGCCGCCGTACAGCAGCAGCCACCGGACACGGCCGCGAACGGGCAGCGCCGGGTCAGACGCCGTCGGGCGCCGTCGCTCGCCCTGAGCAGCGCTGGGACGGGCGCCGTCGCTCGCCCTGAGCAGCGCCGGGACGGGCGCCGCTGCTCGCCCTGACCAGCGCCGGGACGGGCGCCGTCGCTCGTCCTGAGCAGCGCCGGGACGGGCGCCACTGCTCGCCCTGACCAGCGCCGGGACGGGCGCCGTCGCTCGTCCTGAGCAGCGCCGGGACGGGCGCCACTGCTCGCCCTGACCAGCGCCGGGGCGGGCGCCGCTGCTCGCCATGAGCAGCGCCGGGACGGGCGCCGCCGCTCGCCCGGAGCAGCGCCGGGACGGGCGCCGCCGCTCGCCCGGAGCAGCGCCGCCCGCGGCCGGCCTCGTCACTGACCTCGCGAGCTGCCCTCGAACAGGCGCGCCCCACCCGGCAGCTCGTCGTCGTACGGCGCCGTCGCGGCTGGCGCGCCGCCGAGCCTGCAACACGGGCAGACACACTGGACGTGGGGCTTCGATGCGGGAGTGGGCGCGACAATAGCCACCAGCAGAAGACAAGCTCAACGACACCCACTCGCCGCTCTCCGGTCAGTCCAGCCTTCTCTCTCGGACGTTGATTTGGTTTCGGTCTGGGTTTTCGAGCCCGATCTCTTTCTCGATCTCCCTACAACTCATTTGGTGCATCCCTCACACCCGTGTGAAATCCTCTCCGCATTCCCTCTGTCCCGCACACTCCCCAGTCACCCTGCTGTTCTCACCAGCTCTCACACATATCCATGATGCCCATGGACTCGAGCTGGAACAGAGTGGCCTGGGCCTCCTCCACGTAGATGGAGTCTGGTCCAGTCAGGCAGCTCAGCCTGCGACACCAACAACACATACCTGACGCACTTTCAGGCACACAGATCACCTGAAGCGAAATCATATTACGCAGTCTGCAAGTAAACTTAAACGTTCCTCATCGAGGAAACTTTACCATGCATATCTTTACAGCAGCATAGTACACAGCAGAGCGGCTACGCCTTCTCAGGAAGCTCCGATGGGCACGCGCACGTCACTCGGCGGGACGGCTCGCGCGGCCAGACGGCGCTAGCGCAAACGGTCCGCTAGATACCAATGCCTCGCTCCAATCTCAGTGAGTGTTAAAACTTTACAGACGCCAATGTTTCGCTTCAATCTCCGTGGCCGTTAAAACTTTACATTCTGTTGGCGTCCTGTAGCCATGTCATTCGCTGGAGCCGTCTGATACAGGCCGAGAGCTGAGCGCAGCGGACGAGCGAGCGAGCGCCGCTCGAGGGCGGGAGGGGGGGAGGGGGGAGGGAGGGTGTCACCACAGCCACTCACTCAACCGTGCAGCCTCCAGACTCGAGCAGAACTGCTAGCAGCGCGTGCCTCTGAAAAACAAACACAAGTCCGCCCTCATCGGAAGCTGGCGCACAAACAGACGGTCTAGCACGGAACGCGCGCGGCCCAGACGGGCCGAGGAGCTCAATCACGCCCATGTCAGACACTCCGGCAGGACCGATCGCGGATTCAAATGAATGGCGGAGATCAAGACTCGACGCGCCCGTATTCGCCTGACGCACATTATTCGTCCAATCGAAGTTGCCGCGAAGTAGAATGCAAAATCCGTACGTAGTTTTATGCAGTTCTACGCATTCGACACGTACCACGCAATACAAAACTAAGACTGCACAACGTTCGGCACCGGCGCACCTTAGCACTGGTCTGCATCCTCCACCGTTCCCATTGCTCCGCACTCCCTCTCCCCAGGACCATCTACCTCACCCCGGGCTGGCCAACAGACACCGTCCTCACCGAGCCAACCACCAGCAGGTGATGCGTCAAGCCGGGGCAGGGATAGGCGTCCTGCTCGGTGGCGGCCGACGGCGGCGGCCGGTGGTAGCGGCGCCACACCACCAGCTGACGCCAGCCGTCGCGCCGCGCGCCCGCCAGCAGCTGATGGTGGCGCAGAAACAGCTGCACGCCGCGCTGGTCCTCGGGCGCCAGGTGCGAGCCGGCCAGGTAGCCCTGCCAGCGCGCCACGGCCTCAGCTCACCCGCGTCCGCGCCGCTCGGCCGGTCGTCATCTGGCACCGCCCGACGGCGCGCCGATCGAGCCTCGCGCGCCCGGCAGGCAGACAGGCCGTGCTCGGAGCGGTCGGCCGGACGCGGTGCGGTGTTACCCCGGTCACGGGCCGGCAATATCACGCGCCGCTGACGGCTCAAGTTCGGTGCCGAACACCCGCAAAATGAGCTTAATCTGACAGCTACTGGAGGACAGAGTCCTAGCTGTGGAAAAACCTAGCCCAGGCCAAAAAGCATTGCAGCAGATCTTGACTGGTTCTGCTGAACACTGGTCATGACAATTCACGAGCATGACCCGATGTTTGGGATGCAACAGCGCCAGTGATTTACCTTGTAGTAGAAGGCACAACCTCGTAACAAGTACAGCCTCTGGAGACCATGAAAATCCTCCGACTGAGGGCAGAAAATGAAACGAATGTCAACTGTACGCGGAACAGCTCAAGTGGTGTAAAAAGAACATATGATTGTTTAACACACTAAAAGCAGTACGTTTTGAACCAGGCGCGACCAGAACGTATGAGCTAAATGTGGGCAATAGAGGAACAGCGTATATCGTAATCGATCGATCATCTTTCAACCTAGGAGGAGGCTAAGTAGCTTTGTCAATATTGTGGAACTGTTCATCAAGGCTGACGGGATCTTCCCTTCCTCGCAAAATCATTTTCAACTACATAGCTGGGAAAACACGACACCTGATTATCTAAACCTAGCCTAACCTAATCAACCCTGACCTACCCTAACCTAACCTGAAATCAGCTCTATCCTAAGCCTCTGAAGGTTCGCCCGTGACAAGTCGCCGCCTGCGCCACAATCTCCTGACCTGGGATCAGTAATGACTCCCTCCACGCGGGCGGCACACGATGAGTCAGGCCCCACCTCCACTTTAACACCCGCCAACGACAGAACGTCGCATTGTGGCACGCAGCAATAGCAGTTTTATCAAGTACGAGTTCTGCACGCGGAAGTTATCTAATCAGAAGTGATGGCGTGTGGATGCTCCGTTCGCGGAGGTTCGGCGCATGGCAGCAAGGATGCAGAAGGGTTCTGTCCGCGACAGTCGTGTTAGTGTCGTGTGACACCCGTTGTCAGTACAAGTGGTGTCGCATATGACCTTTACCATGGAGGTTTTTTGTGGAAATCATATCGCGTGTAAGTTTTGTCTGTCGCGCAGAAGCTGCACTCCCAGTGGTCCTATCACGCGTGACATTTGTTTTCAGACGTTTTGTTGCGTGCAGGTTATGATGCAAGAAATGTTGTCAGCAGAAACAGAGCCGCGTGAAAGATTATCAGTAATAGTTTTATCATGTAGGAGCATTTCCGTGCAGACGTCTTATATGTTACAGCCGAGTCGTACTAACTTTATCCGCAGCAGTTTTATCCGTCGAAATGTTGACGTGTTGCACTGCCGTGGTTATTGGAAAGCAAAACTCGCTCCAAGTCATCAGTGTTCGAACATCCGTGTTCTGCGGTCGGACATCGAGAGCCCAACCACAGGCGTCATTGCTCTGAGACTGGAGAAGGGTGTTGGTGATTGGCGTTCGGTGTAGGAACATTCCGTGCCGCTCACGCGATAAGGGGTGAACATATAGATTTAGCATCTTATTGATTACGTGGATGGTGGCGCCACTGGCGTGAGGAGTGGTCGTGTTTTGTGACGCTCCCTGGATATCGTTGTTCCGCGTAAATCGTGTATTTCAGGTGTTCAGCTGAGTGGCCAGCTTGATTTGGTGCTGCAGCACACCTGGTACTGCTGGCTTCCGGCGAGTTTCCTTCTCTCCGGAGATATGGAAGTAAATCCAAGACCGGCACACAAGCTAAGAACGCTGCGAGTGTTTCGCTAAAACGCCCGCAGTTTGAAAAAAAGCTACGCACTCTGCGCTCCCATGGTGGGGAGCCGGCTGGCTTCAATGCTGTCTGCCGGACCGAGACATGGCTCGGACCACACGTGCTGGGCCCTGAGCTACAGATGAACCTCTCGGACCACACGTGCTGGACCCTGAGCTACAGATGAGCCTCTCGGACCACGCATGGCTCTGGAAGGACAGAAACGGCAGAGGAGCAGGCGTTGCTTACGCTGTGAAGACAAGCCTGTTACCTGTTCACCGACCAGGCCTGGAGCCCGGCTGCGAGGTACCGCCAATCCGGTTGGGGACCATCTACACTACCATCAAGACGGTCTGCTGCCGTCCACCAGATGCTGACCGTAACGTAGATTTGACCGCTGCATGCTCCCGGAATATCCGCTCCACCAATCTACCTTTCCTTATTGTGGATGACTTCAACTCACCTGAGATGTGGCAGGTGTCAGCGTAATGGCCACGAAGCCACCTCACTGAGGCGCACCGTCAGAGCCGTCAAATTCATAGGCCCTGTCGCTAAGTGCGGGACGGTGCAATCTGTGACGTCACCAACGCGCAGGGAGAATATCCTGGACCTCACCATCCCCGATGGTGAAGCTGCTGTATCTGGGGTCGGTGGCAGGATACTGAACTCAGACCAACGCAATGTTGCGACACAGTTCTGTGTAAAGCGTGGGCCGGCCCCGCGCGCTGCCCGATCGAAGGCGTACAATTACAACCAGGCAGATTTTAACAGTCTGTGCACTGGTCTTGGGGTCATTCCTTCACGCATTCTAAATTATTTATTGAGATGTTGATGATGCTGTTCGTCTCCTTTATGGTCTTATGTTCGCCACAACCGCAGGATTGGCACTTGCTGTTGACCTTCGAACGAGATTGCCTCCTTGGTTTGACCGATCCGTTCAGGACTTGCTGCGTGATGAGGAGATGGCTCCTAGACGTAAGAAAGCGTGTCCGGAATATTGCTAGACACCGTACTACTGGAGCCGTACCACTAGCGTGGTTGGATCTAGTGCGAGACTTGAAGGAAAACCCAACGCATTCTTGGTCCTCTGTTAAAAGCTTCAAGCCATCAGCGCATGTATCTCCCGCTTTTCAGTGTCATAAAAGGGCGATGAGCAGCATGCCAACTATTCGTTTATGTGTTCTGCTCGGAAGTTCTGTGACCCAAACGTTCGTGTATTGCCTGACCCAGCGTTTCCCGATGCGTCCGGACTAGACATCCTTACTGTACCGCATGGCCGCATAGCCCAACTGTCACGCGATCCCATGCACACGGAGCCTGCGGTCCCAACGGGTTCAGTGCCCAGATTCTCGGGGAGAGTGCCGAGGAGCTCGCTGTTCCGTTAGAAATGCTATGTAAGCTTTCTCTAAACTCTGGCGTCTTTCCTGCCATGTGAAAGCAAACAAATGTGATACCGGCGCACGAAAAGGGATCCAAGAAGGCGCCTCCAAATTATAGGCCTGTGTCTTCCTATCTACTCGAAATATTGGACAGAATCGTTACCGAAACCCTTTTGCAGGCTTATCTTCCCACTCTACCTTCATACCAGTATGAATTCCTTCCAAAGCGTTCCTACATCACAAGCCTTTCATGCTTCCTTGGACACTGCTGGGTATCTATCTCAATAGGTAAATAAACATACGCAATTTATACCGATTGCTCTCCGCATTCACTAGCGTTAATTGCCTTTTCCTGCTACACAAGCTTCGCCATTCTTTTTGCATGACTGCCCGCGCCTTTAGCTGACTGGAGTCGTACTTGAGCAGTTGTTCACGAGTAGTACTGATTGGCAAGCAGTCGGACTGGATTCCAGTGCGACTATCTTATCAGCAACTGGCCAGAGCCACCCGCCTTCGACTAGTCCATTTCTGCGGGGCCCCGGCGCTGCACGGGCAGCACCGTGGCCCAATCCGCTCTGCTTCGTCGGTCGCGCCATCATCGCAGTCTGAGAAATCGCACGAACGCCACATGTTCGCAATCAGTACGGGACTCGCATCTTTTTAACTGCCCACTCCTCACATCGAAGACAGTTTTTAGCGACATAACAACACACTTGCTTTGAAAACCGGTATGCACGCGAACATACGCGCGGTACTTTTGCAGCTGTCGTAATGCTGCCGCTGCCACCATGTACACGCCGGTAATGTACAATGCGCACCAAAAGCACGTATGGATGCATGCATAAATCAACAATTCCTTAGCAGTGTCGAGGCAGCGGACCATATTGATATTGATTCCCGCCTCAGTGCTATCGATTTCCGCCTCTCGGAATTGCGAGAAGTTTTACAATGTGTCGCAGAGGCCTTATGGCCAGATCACGTCTTATGGCCAAATAATACAGGACCTATGGTTTGCCCTGTCGGTTATGTGCATACCTGGAGCCCGTGATGTTGGCTGTACGGTCCCGGGAGTCCGTGATATTAGTTATCGAGATCCCGGGAGCAGGTGATCTTGGCTGTCGGGGTGCCGGAAGCCCGAGATATGTGGTGATCTGTGACGATCTCGGGATCGCGGGAGACCGGTGAGTGACGCGACTGCCACATCTCCGCAGCCTACCTGGGCCGGGCCGGGCCGGGCCGGGCCGGGCCGGGCCGGGCTAGGCTAGGCAGGCTAGGCAGGCTAGGCAGGCTAGGCAGGCTAGGCAGGCCGGGCGGGCCGGGCGGCCCGGGCCAGACGGCCAGGCGGGAGCACTCACCTCCTCACCGAAGTCGCCCGACTCCAGCTCAGTCAGACTGTCGTCAATCAGCACCTGGCGACGGACAACACAGGTAAAGCCGAGGCGCCACCACCCAGACGGCGGGCAGGCGGGCGCGGCCGGCCGGTGTCGGCAGCGGTGGGAGAAGGCACCTGGCCGCGCTAAGCCAACAGAGTAGTGGAATCTGCAGTCCAAAGAATACAGCGATGTTTTTGTTCGCTGGAAACGCGCTTCGCTGTTCAAAGTTGTAATCCGGCATTTGCATAACAAGCCGTAGTTTGCATAATGAGAGACGGCGTAATTTCCATCCAACAAAATGGTGCATGGTGAGGCGATGTTGCCCACTCACGACGTGTAGACGGCCTTACAAAACCGAGTTTCATTCCCGATGGAAATCGTGCACGACAGTAACCATTGTTTGTCTGCACACTGACGCAAGCGCCACAATCACGGTCGCCACCATCAGCCTTTCCACGCAGGCCACCTAAGCTGGCGCCCCGAAAACACATTGTGTTTTGCAGCGTTGAGCTCCGGGCGTAAACCGGCCTACTATTCCTGCAAACTGCCAGGCGCCGGGAGCAGCCAGCGCAAACACGTGGAGCGCGCCCATGTCCACGTAATCCAATCGCTCGCAGGAAGCCGACAGCGCAAACAGAGCGCAGCCACTTCGGGCTCCACCACGCCATAATCGAGCGGAACGCCCCCCGAAACTTTGACGAACGGGGCTGCCGGAGCTGCCGCGGACGGCCGCCGGGTCTCGGCCTTCGCCCGGCCGTGCTGAGCGGACGGCTGCCGTGGACGGCCGCCGGGTGCCGGCCGTCCGCCCCGGCCGTGCTGTCGACCAGCGCGGCCCGGAGCTGCCGCGGACGGCTGCCGGGTCCCAGCCGTCCGTCCCGGGCGTGAGACAAGCGACCCAGACTGCCGGGAGCCAATCACGGACGGACGGGACGAGAACACTGAGACGAGCGGTGGACTGGCCTGGGTTGCGGGCTGACGAAAACCAGTGTTGCCCGCCGGCGGAACGCCACGCTGGCGGCGCTAGTCAAATGAAAGGCGCTCCGCTGATTGCTTTAACAAAGGCAAAATAGCAATCAGCATAGCAATGGGCGGATTGATTGGCAATTCTGAACAGCAACAATTAGCGATGGAACAAACATGGGCCGGAGCAGCGATCAATAAAACGAACAACAACGGAAGGGCATAAGTTTCTGCACGATGGGCCATACGAATAGTGAGGTACAAACCTAAGGCGATCTATGAAGGCGATGTATGGAACTGATTTTCAATGATCTGCTGCAATAGCAACTCAATCACGTGGGACTTTGACCTCAACACAAATGCCTAAAACGTCAGGACGCGTGTACGCAGTTTTCAGATGGAAGTTAATGTTACTTATCAGCACTTTGAACGCCTGTGAATGCTGAAGGAGTTATATAACTGAACGGGTCTGGAAAAACTGCAACCTCGGACTAAAAGAAAACATGGGCGAGAGCTAAGGTAGAATGCTTATTTTTCCAGATCAATATTTCAATTTTGTCTTACCATGACAAAGTAAGATCAAGAGCCGTACACACGTTACAATCTTACAGCGAAAAATATTTCCCATACACCACTCTACACTATGAAAGACCAAATCCTGCTATATTCGAAGACGCATCAGGGAATGCAGAGTGATACATGCTTGATAACAATTCATAGAATATTTAAGAAAGCAGCGGATTAAACCAAAACGTGAACAGTTCCAGGACAAAATTCTACTGAATTAGAACGTGTCATTGAATATCGAAACACAAGCTACTGACACGTGCAGGAAACATGCATTGAGAGCAGTAAAATTGCCTGTTCGCTTTTTCGTTTTCCGTTCCAATTAACATGTACGTCAGTTTATGGTAAACAGCTAATTCTGTTCCGCGCCGGCAGTACAAAGTCTGCGCTAGCAGACAACTCAAGCGTAGCCGGATCATTTGTTGCGCGATCAACAAACATTTTTACATTTTCCTGTTGGCACAACCAACGAATCCAACAACGCCTGGTCGTAACCGTTCCGAAGCCAGGCAAAGCTCTCATTATCGCCACATAGGCCTTTATCACTTACAGTGTTGTGCACGTTTCCAGACTAAGCCATTGGTGCCCACGTGCATCATGCCTTCGAGATGCCATCAAAACCATTGACGTACAACTACCGAGCACTTATCTGACCTGGTCTGCCCTACTCAAAGTCTGTATGATCAGTGTATGTTACGTAACGACCAACCAAGTTCCAAAAGTTGAGAAAAGGCGACACGAACAAAAATTAAATCGTCTTTTTACGACGTCATGCCACCTAACATGTCAACACCGTCGAAACAAACGAGGCAACAAAAATCATCAACGGTACCCAGCTACCCAGCTGCCCTACGAACCCAGCCGTTAACTACGCTGACATAAATTAATTTAGCGGGAGACGGATTATTCGTCTGGGCCGTTCCCAGCGAATGCGCGGCTGATGCTGCCGACGGAAGTCTGCTTCCCGTCCCTGGGCACCGGCGACTAAATTGACGACGGCGGCCGACGGCGCTCGCCGAGCCGAAACCAGCGGCTGTTAGCGGCGGCGGCGGCGGCGGCGGCACGCGGAGCGCCCTGGACGGGGACACGCGCGCCGTGGTCGGCCGGAAGTCCCGCCACGACGGGCCGCGGCCGCCGGCGGCGCTGGGCTCCCTGAGTCGCACGCCGTGGCCCGGCCTCCGACCGCCGCCGACCGGCCGACCGCGTCCGACCGGACCTGGTTCGTCTGTATGGTTTTGTGTTGAGGTGCGAGACACGTTTATGTTAGTGTACATTTTTGCGTTGAGGCGCGAGTCGTCCATCGCTGTACTGTCTTGTCATGCACCGACAGTGACGCGGCCGAAACAACGCTCAGCTGCCACATATACAGGCGAGAACCGAACCCGAGCCAGCTGCGCGTCAGTCGGCCTCTCCGCCGCCTGCACTGCACGTCAACCGCTCACCTGGACGTGTCGCGGCAGGTGGATGGCGTGAGCGGCCGGCAGCAGGCGGTCCAGCGCATCGGCCTGCCGCGGCGGCAGCGCACCGGGCAGGCCGGCCGTCAGCTCGGCGGTCAGCAGCGCCCGCTGCACCAGCAACGCCGCCAGGTGGTCCACGTACGGCCGGTTCGCCGGCTCGCAGAAGGCGCTGACAACGGCGCGACGGGATCAGACGAGCGGGGTGACAGGCAGAGAGAGGCGCGACTGCTTTCTGAGCAGTAGCAGACAGGTTTTAAGGAAACATTCAACCCGAGAGTGCGCCTTAGAGTTTCTCAGTGTTCGGGAGAATACTACACACCACGGAAGAACACTAGCATCAGTTATAAGTCTCTTGTTTGGTCGTGCACGCCTCACCTGCGTGTGGAGCCGAACTCCAGTTTGAGCAGTTGCCACAACTCTTGACCCAGCTGGTCCACCTCGAGCGCCGACAGACTGCGGAGCGGGCAGCGGGCGTCAACAGTAGCGGCGGGCACACCAACCGGACCGTCAACCCGACACCGCACCATCAATAGCGGACGAACACAAAGCGTGACCAGGCGAACCCAGCGAAGCCCAACGAACGTACCCCAAACAGTGCACAATAATTGATTTAAAAGGAATGGCATTGTAACGAATTCAGTATCACAAGCGTCCCTATCCGCCTTTTTTCATTATAGAGTGTTCCACATTTGTATGGGGCTTTCAACTGAAAAAGCCATCTTAAAGATCCTTCGGCGCAGTCCACAGCCTCGCCCTTCTTAAGACCTAACCCCCTCTGGTTTCTGAGCTACACGCTCGCGAAGATGTGCGAACTATTTCGTGCAGACTATTTCAGGGTCAGCAAGGCATCAATGACGCTATGACGACGTCATTCAAATCCGGTCATTCCATCGGCCATGCAGCGATTAAAGCCAATGTAAAAAATAATCGTCGAGTCGTTCATATCCGGCGTTCGCGAGCACGACTTCAAGATATAACGGCCGTCCATTGGCTATGAATGTTGTGAAATGTATGATGACGCAACCAAACAATGACACATTGGGAAGTATATTTGCTAAATATAGAAAGTGTTGTCTACAGCAGTCATTTTCACTTCAAAGTATACCAATAGTCATACCAATAGTCAAATGAGCCTATTTAATCATATCTGATGCTTGCTTCAGAGTCTTCACATGTGGAACATTCCCTTTAAAAGCCACAGGCGTTTAAACCAGCCCCAGCAGTGAATGCAGGATTTTGGTAAAGCCATCGTACACCCAGTGTGTTGAAGACGAGAGCCTGCTACTGAAAACCGCGGACACATATCACGCTCAACAACCTCTTGGAAAAAAGTTTGGTAACCCTCTGTCCAGTGCGCACAACGTGGGACGCGTGTATCTAGAGAGGGCGCCTGAGCGTTCATAAGGCGTCGCTATTAACATCGAACAGGCGGATGCTCCCCAGACCAAGTCGGACGAGTGACCGGACATGAGTACAATTTCGAAGACAATATACAACTGAATGTTGAGGAACAAGCTCACCACATAACGAGTAGTTTAAATATGAATTGAGCTTTCTATCAAATGTTAACACAAAATCCGGCCATCGCCCCTGCGGTTTTCCGCATAAAAAATAATTCAAGTCACCTTCCAGCAGAGAAGAAGAAATGAGAAAACTTTACAAAAACAGCGTAGTTAAATTTTAAAAAAAAAGACAGGGGGTTTTTCGCACCAACAATCACCAAACTCCACATCGGGCATCTGTAGTTCACATTTATTTTGTTGTAACTACTTTGACAAAATATCTAACTTACAGGCGTCTGTGTCTCTAACGATACGTTCCGTTCATAACATGCCTTGACGACTGATCAATGTCGGATGCATAGAACCAACCCGGAATAATGGCCCCCCTGATCAATGTGTGCCATCCCCATTCAGAGCTACATGCCAAGCACACATCCGAGTTACATTCCATTCGCAAGCATCACGACAACCAAGCAAAAATTATCGTGGCATTCGCGCGCTTTGGCGTCTCCATGATACATTCAGCCAGGTGTTCATCCATTATTTCCTTCGTCCTCAGTCTCCCCGCCAGCCATATTCATCAATGCAGTGCTGACACTACGACACATGACAACGTCGACCACCTGATCCTCGCGACGTCACTGACCTGCTTTCGGGTATGGCCAGCACCACCACCAGCTCCTCCTGGCAGGTCACGGCCACGTGCACGGGCGTCCCGCCCACCGTGGTGCGAACCCTGCCGGTCAGGTGGTAAAGTCAGCAGGTCAGCGGGTCAGGCACCGGCCGGCCGCCCAGCCGACGGCGCGGCGCTGAGCTGCACAGCAGGGCACCAACGCCGGCGGGCCGATGGGAGGCGGCGTCCAGTCACTGGACGTCAGCAGCCGTGTTTCACCGCCACCACAGTGCGTTAACCAGGCCGGCAGCGATCATTCGGCGCGTTCCTGTTGACGGCTGACTGCTCGCCGACGCCGACTCCCGAGCACGCGGCTCGACACATCGTCGCCAGCGTCCGCTGCCACCTCGGACGACCGGCGGCGGCGGCGGAACCGCGGTCGACCGCGGCGCAGGAAGCGGCGGACGTCCGGCTCATCCGGCGGCGGCAGCCGGGCGCCGCGGTCGCGGACCGGCCAGCGGTGCGCCGTCGGCCGGAGACGGACGAGCCGGCGGCGGCTGGCAGATGGCCGCGCCCGCCGCCGCCAGCGGTCAGCGCTGACGGACGAGCGCAGCGGCCGCCGCCGAGCGCCAGGCCGACCGCCGCCGGGAACAGGTCGGCGCCCCGGTGGTCGGAGCGAAGCGGTGTGATTTAGAGCGGCCGCCTGACGCACGGATGGGGAGGGAGTTACGTGGCGCCCAGCACATGGCCGACGAAACAGCCGGAAAAGATAGATGCGACTTAAAACGGCCGCCAGCGATAAAGACGGGATTATAATGTGCGTCCACCGGAGCGCGTCGTTGGCCAAGATATCCCAGGGCGATAGATGCAGCCTAAGATGACTGCCAGGCACAGCTGACATTGTAGCAATACAGCCCCGGAGAAGTTGCCGTAATCATTTCGACGACTTTCAATTTCATACCGGCACGGCACAGCTTAACAAATAGATGCAGGCAAATTTTTCACCGAGACGATCGCCCCATAAACAGTCGGGGGCCGTTTGCATTGACGAACAATTTGACACGATGTACAAGAATTTTCCGGCGTGCCTGACGAGACATCCTATAAAATGCACCACGAATACATGGGTTGCGCCAACACTGGAGCCGTACTGTTGATGACATGTACATTACCGTGTTGTGATTTGTTATTTTTTGCTGAGGGAGTACCAACTATAGCCCCCAGTAGCATCCCGTACCTAAGGTTGAAGACGGCCGCATTTCTGGGGGTCCCGGAAGTTTTGAAAGACTTCGAACAGGCTCTTCCACTCTCTATAAGCCCACCTAGGTCGTGGCAGGGCCTGAAACGTCCGCTTCCACTGATTGGCTTGGGGCCCGCCCCCGGCTGGAGCGCAGGCGTGCTAATGGACACCGCGACACGAGGCACGCAAAATATCGACGACTAATGTAGAAATGATTACACACAACGCGCAGCGCGCCGGCACGGCCGCAAAGAAATACAGTTGACCGCAGGCTGGTGTTGACGCCCGTTTCCAGGTGCCGCTCGGGACCTGGCTAGTATGCGGCGGCAGGTGGCCGAAGGACAGCGTCGGTCGGCACATCAGTCATCGCTAGTCGTCCGTCACTGCTGACACCTGTCACAGCCTACGAGCGGTGACGCTGCGGCCAGCTCGAGCCACCGGCCGCGCCATCAATAGGCCGGGTCAAAGCACTCCAGCCGGCACGCAGCGCACCGGAGACGGCTGCATCGGGCTTCGTTCATGGATGGATGCATGCAGCTAAACTGAATGCCAACGGGCCCACAAAAGCCATTTTGCAGTTACGTGTTTTCTAGATTGAATGCTTGTTTTCACTTAAGCAGAGTGGGTCGTAGCGTCACTAGAGACTTCGCCAGTGTCAGTTCACGGTGGTTTGAGCAACGCGGTCGGCGCCCGTCTGCTTTGGCTATAACGAACGTTCCTAGAGCTGCGAATTTCGCAAAGGCGCCTTGAAACACCGGCCAAGGCCTGACATTGCAAACGCCCTCAACGGAAATGTTGCAAGTCTGCAGTGGGCCCTCCAGCAGCTTAGGCGTAGAACAACCGCTTGAATTAGCAACGCAATGCAGGTGAACGAAACCGGCCTCGGCATTCCATTAGATGCTAGTCACAATTTTAAGGAAATAGTCAGGCGTCAAGGGCAAAAGGCTGGGAAAGGACCATATGCTTTAGAACGAGACACAGAAGCGTACTTTTGCGTTTTCCCTGGAACGAGAAAAAAGTAGTTGTAAGAGTTTTAGACCCCGACTAACCCGGGCACCTGACAAGCAGAGTATAAACACATAGCGCGAATATCCTTCAGTCAGCCGTTGCATGGCGTGGGAATCACACATGCTATTTCTTCTACCCAGCTAGACAGCCAGCTGCGCTATATATCGGTGCGTCCTTTATGCCTAACACCGGGTGTTCCAACGCAGTAGGTGAGCTCAAATGTGCCTTCTGACTTGTATTTGCACTTGTTACAAGTTTCTCCGCCGGCTGGCGTTTCAGGTATGCGGTTCGTTACAACGTTCGGCAGTTTGATCCGTTACAATATCATGACGTCGGATACCGAAATATGCACGAAGTCGGCAGTTGTAACAATCGCAGCCTAAGACCACTGCCAGAGATACCAGTAGAATCGCAGCAATGAATACATCCCCAAAAACATGGCCGTGGTCATTTCGCAACATCTTTTGACCAGGCTTCTGCTTGTGATTAGGTGTGTGAAGCGATTTCGAAGGAATTATGTTCTAGGTCATGAAAGGCGGGAGACTTGTCCTACAGCTGGTGGTCGGCCGGTTCCATCGGATTTGGGTCTTGACTTCCGTCAAGTCGAACTCATCGTCCCCCCCCCCCCTCCAAACAACAGCTGAATGTGTTTTTGGGTCATGCTAAGATCTTCATACCGAATGAGGGGCTCGTCAGCTGGCAGTTCGATGCTTCGTTCCGTTCCGTTCTTTTCCGTCTGCGTTCCGCCGCCCCACAGTGGCCCAGGGGCACGCGCGGTTTGTCTACAAGCTTTCAAGAAAACTCGTGTTGGCTCCGGATCCATCTGGTTTGGTCGTGCTTCACCCGTCATTGCACTGAATTGGGCAGCTTCGTGGCTTCTTTTTCCGGACGGGAGCAATTCCAGAGCCAGGATCTCCGCGTGACTGGTGACGGCGAGCATCGCTTATTGTTCAGCGATGCTGGCAGCAGACCAGAACACTCCACACCCAGGCTGTTAAAGCCTTACAGTAAAAAGCCGGTTTGAAAGGAAGTGTGCGCTGCATTTTGAGACCAACATCTGATGGCGTAGTAGAGGTGGGTGGAAGGGGAACTGGTGCCGGCACCAGCTGTCCGGCCGCCCGGCCCAGGCCCAGCGCGGAGGTGGGCCACAGTGGTGACGCCGGTCCAGGTGCTGGTGGCACATCATCCCGACGAAACAAATACGGTCAGACATCAGGGGTTAGAAGAAACAAAACCCTTCCGGACAGCTCGACCAAACCAAGATGACAGAATGGAAAGCGTGACAGCGGATGCACTTCAACGTTTCATCAAGGCTGCGAAGACGGTCCTCGACACCGGATCTTGTAAACAAGCCCCAAAAAACGCTCGCTGAGCTGGAGCGCGACGACGTGATTAAGAGCTCGAGCTTCTGGCGACGAGCGCCACCGACCGGTCGGGATAACTCAGACGGGTGAGGCGGACGGCTGAGACCATGGACGCGGTCTGTTCAACTACCGCGTCCTGTCGGAGTCAGTAGCTCCAGTGGCCCCAAACCGATCTCCCAGGCAAGCGACCGTGGTAAATGGCGGAAGAAGACAGGAAGAGGAAACTGTTGGTATCGAAGGGGCGTCCGATAAGGACACCTTTGATGTGCTCCCGTGATCACCAAAGACGTAGCAGTTGCTCCAAAGATCGTGCATGACACAATTCTCTGTAAAGCTCAGCTTTGCCGCCGGAGATTCGATGCAGGCAGACGTCAATGCGAGCATTTCACGCACCGGCGCCGCAGTGCTCGGGAGAACGCCTGGACGACAGTGCATTGAGGAATACAGATAACACGTGTCCAGCGTTCTCGACTGTTGCTTCGGCATTTCGCACGGTGCCAGAGATGGGCCACGACGGAGGCGACTCGCATCGCAGAGATCCACTCGGCGTCAAAATCTGTAGGGGCTTAAATACCACCAACTGAAAACTACCTTAGATTAGACTGCATCATGTCATCGGCCGCGGCCCGGTCAGGTGCGGCCTTGGCCACGCCACCGGAAGTCGCGACCTTGACCTTGCCCTTATCAAACGCCAGCTGCGACCTTGACTGCTGCCCAGGTCAGCTGCTCGTGGAAGACGGGGCTGGTTTGCTTTGGAGACGATTTTCGATGTGTGACGTGCACTAAGGCACCAGTTTCCATACGTCGCACACGTCACATGTCGCTCTAACAGCAGGATCGTACGTGGTGCCATCTCATCGAGGGTTGCGCAATGTGCCGAATGTCGTCTCTTTCTCGCGGGCCGATCAGCCATGACACCGTTCAGGGGTCCCACCATATTGGTGTAAGGTTCTTCTCGTTTGTCATGAAGACCCTTCACTGTTCGCTGGAGCCTCTTTCTTGGCCCTGCCACGGCAGTTTCGAGTGCTCAGGTGCCGTCCTCATTAGTCTTGGGTTTTTCCATGCGTTCTGAGAAAACAGTTCGTTCTGTTTTGCCTACGTTTATTTTGGAATTTTGGTTTGCAGCTAAGTTGTCTGTTCTCTGTGGGTTGGTAAAGGGCTGAACGCTGTGAAAAGGTGAGCCCTTTTTAAACAGTAATACACCTTCCGCCCCAAATACATGGCAAAATTCATTGCATGAGTGAGTCAGGGAACCATAAAAAAGTCCAGGGTCGCAGCGTCCAGTGTTCATACCGTCCAGGATCGAAGCGTCCAGTGTTCATTAAGTCCAGAAAACGTCCCATTCCGTGCCCATTCCCGCCGCTGCTGCCGGGACCCCAAATGCCGGGGTACACTCGGTTGCTCAGTGGCCCTTCATATTGGTATCAGGTTCTTTCCACTTGCTTGGGGTACCCCGTGCTGTTGCTGGGGCCACATAAGGTGACGCTCCGAGGCACTCGATGCTCAGGGGC